TTTTTTCTGATTTAAATACAGTAAAATAATAATAATAATAACAATAAAGTGTAATTTTATGTTCAAACACTGTTAAAGAGCAATTGACTATTTTTATTTTCTTTCCCTGTTTTTTATGATATTTTGTCTGTAATTGACCAAAATCTCTCTGATTACAGTGAAACGGTGATTTTGACTGTTGTGTTATTTTTGTTCTGCTTCAGCGTGAGGTTCCTCTGATCCTTCTGTTTCCTGTTTTTCCTCATTCGCTGCCTTTCAGCGGCTTCACTCCGGTTTTATTTTCTTGCTGTCTGACTTTTTCTTTTACTACATCTGAGCCTTTCTCCAAACCGACTCCATCGGATCGAAACGAGGCTCTGACAGCTCGTCCAGCAGCTCAGAACCTCCCAGTTTGTTCTGATCGGATCCGGTAAAACTGCTTTTTGTGCTCACTGAGTGTTTTCTACATTCATTATTCAAACCTGTGTGTTTGTGCCGCTCACCTGAAAGCAGCTGCTCACGTTGTGCCAACAAAGCAGCTGCTGAGGCACAAACTAACTCCTTAATGGGTTTTCTGCTCCTGTGACCCCAACAGCCGCTGACAGATGCTGACAGATGTGGGTCAACCCGACGCTCTGGTTCTCTCTGGTCCTCAGAACCTTGATCCTGTTACGTGTTCTGTCCAACAAAGTCTCAAAGTGTACTGAAATCCCAACAGAAGAGGCCCAGAGCCCTGAATCAGCAGGTGCAGCGGCGCCTGGAGGAACCAGGTTCAGTTCCACAACAACCAGAACTTTCAGCGGTGCCTCACAGAACCATCAGCCAGAGTTCATTCATCACGGTGCTCCAGAGAGCTTCAGATGAAACCATTTTAAATCCAAAATGACTCACAATTAGTAAAAAAATGTCAATAAGGGTCCAGAATGAGTCGAAACAACAAGAACCCACAAAACTGAGCTGAGATGTGCAGAAAAAAGAAAAGAAATGACTCAAAATGTCCAAAATGATAAAAAAAAGGGTCCACAGAGTAACGCAACACGACAACAGAGACACAAAATGAACACAAAAAGACACAAAACACCACAAAATAGTGACAAAGCTAACACAAAGACACACAAAATGACCTGAAAAAGACTCAAAATGTCCACAAAGACACACAAAGTGACAGTAAAGAAACAAAAAGACACGCAATTACCACGAGACAATCCCAAACAGACCCACAATCAGCCCAGAACGACACAACGGCCCACAAAGAGACACATGATGACAGCAGAGAAACAACGTGACCTCAAAAAGGCACAAAAGTACCACAAACAGGGACAAAACGACCACAAAGAGGCACAAAGGACGGCGGCATTGAGGAGGAGGAGGAGGAGGATGAAGAGCGTGGGAAGGGAGGCGCAGCAGGACGAGCTAATGAGGGATTAGATGTTGTGAGAAGATCGATACCGACCGAGACGCTGAGAATCACAGCAACCGTTTATTAGTCACTCAGAGAAAAACACAAACACAACCGGCTGGAGCAAGTCATGTTCAGGGTAACACAGGACGCAAAGAGACACAAAGAGACACAAAATAATGACAAAGAGACACAAAGAGACACAAAACAATCACAAAGAGACACAAAGAGACACAAAACAATCACAAAGAGACACAAAATAATCACAGAGAGACAAAAAAAGATACAAAATAATTACATAAAGACACAGAAAGACAAAATAATCACAAAAACATACAAAAGACACAAAATAATCCCAAACAGACACACAGCTGAAACACAATGACCCAGAACAATCAGCAGTTGTGTTCATGACCTTCTGCTTCCATCACCATCAGACCTGGAGCTTTTAGTTCAGTGGGACAGAAAACGAGCTGATTCGGGCGTTTCTACACAACATGAAAGCATCAGAAATGAATCGTCGACACACAGGAAGCAGCCAGCGAGCCGGACCAGCCTGGAGACCGGAGAACGCTGGAGAAACGAAGCAGAACAGCTGGATGAGACTGAAGATCCTGATGTCTGTGGTTTCAACACGTCACATGATGGAAGTGATGAACTCTGATGCTGTCAGTCAGTCAGCAGAGGACCAAAAAGAAACCAAAGCACTTAAGAAATAAATGTTTATTCTAAAAATAAAACTGGTTTTCCTTCTTGTTACAGTGAATACGTGCAGAATAACTGAACTAGGTCCAGTCACACCAGGAGAAATGACTGTGGGGTTGTTTCCTCCTGACGGGGAGGACGTGTCCGGCTCAGATCTGCTCCGTCTCCACAGGGATGCTCTTCCGGTGTTGGACCAGCTGGTGGTCCAGCGTGGTGCGTCCTCCCCTCCTCGGTTGCCGGCGGCGGCCCTGCTGCCACGTTTAGCATCCAGCCCAGGACCGACCGGTCGGCGGCCCGGGAGTCCTGCTCCCAGCCGTGCAGCCTTTGTCCATCCATGTGGTCGGTTTGTTGGGCTGCAGCCTTCAGCTCACGGAGCTCCTCCATCAGACCCATGAGCTCAGCTGGCTGTTGCCGCCTCCTCTGGTTCCTCTGCTTACTGTCTGCAGTTGGATCCATTTCCCAGGAGGACGCCACAGAAGAACATAGACTCTGGGTGGACTTCAGGAGATGCTGCTGTGTCACCATGTGGCCTCCAGTCGGCCTTGAACAGCGTCTGCGAGAGAAAACACCGAGTTCACCCACCTCTCCAGAAGGACGGAGGTGGAGCTGCCTCCTGTGGTGATGCAGTTCTGAGGGGATGCTTCCTCACGTTGGGGATTTCTCCAGGACTTCAGGGAGTCTGTGCAGTGGCAGCCATCTTGGTTTTCCAGATTTCATGTTGGTCTAGGGGCTGCAGGTGGATCAGTGGTTAGCACTGTGGCCTCACAGCTAGAAGGTGAGGACACCCGGGATCTTNAACAGAAACGTTAGAACAACCCAACAGGAACCAGAGAAGCAGCTTAAAGGATGCTTCAATATGCAAATGAGCTCGTATCTAATTAAACACGCGCTCATCAGCGGCAGAGAAATGATGACGTCTGAAAGTCACGTGTTTTTATAAAGAGGATTTAAATCAGAAACCATGTCCTGTGGCTGGTGTCACGGACCAGATGTTGGACCAACCGGCTCTGAGTGAAGAGCTTCCCCAGTAAAATGTGTAATTATGATCATCATCATCATCAGGAGCACTAAACGGGCCTGAGGGAAGTTTATGGGTCACAGAAAAAATGTGAATAAAACTAAAAGAGAAAAAAAAATCCGAAATAATCTCCAGAAAAATATTTAAAATCAAACAGATCAGCGACAGAACTCCTGAAAACATGAAAGGCTGCTAAATAACTTCACCTCCAACTGTTTTATTAAAATAAATCCACTTTGATCAGAGACTGACTGGAACCTGCTGAGCTGACACCAGAACACGGTTCGGTTCTGACCTGAGAGGAGGCTGAAAACTGCAAAGTCCAACATCTTTCTGCCTTTTCACTTTCCTGCACTGAAAACCCGTGAAACCGAACCTTCTGCTGTGGTCAGAGGACGGATCGAACCGCAGCCACCGAGTGTGAGTGACAGCAGCGGAACCGGACCGGGGCCGGCTGTCCTACCTCTCCTCCCGGGCTCGGAGCAGCAGCAGCGGCCGAGCAGCAGCAGCAGCAGCGCCGCGGAGCCTCCTGCTCCTCCGGCGGGCTTCATGGTCCGGGTGTGGGTCCGGGTGTCGGTCCGGGTGTCGGTCCGGGTGTCGGTGCGAGTCGTGGCGCTGTGAGCGCAGAGTGACGGCTCGCTCCACTGTCGGTCCGCCGTCGGTCCGCTCCGCCTCCTTCCGCCCTCAGAGCAGCCAAACAGAGAGCAGCAGGCGGAGAGCCAGAGGCTCAGGACTGACGGAGAACCTGGTTCCACACAGGTTCCACACAGGTTCTCCACACAGGTTCCACAGAGGTTCCACAGAGGTTCCACACAGGTTCCACAGAGGTTCTCCACAGAGGTTCTCCACAGGTTCCACACAGGTTCCACAGAGGTTCCTCAGAGGTTCCACAGCATCAGTCAAACACCTTAGAACACGTGGTTCTGACCAGGAACCCACAATCAGACACATGTTCTGATGGGAATGATTTTTGTGTATTTATTATTATTATTATTATTATTTGTGGATCATTTCAGCACTGAAACAATAATCAGGTCCAGTTATCACCAGTAGAAGCTTTTATTGTTTGTTTGTTTGTTTTTGTCTAAAATCACTCAAAGTAAAAAAAATAAATTCATTTTTTAAAAAAAGAGAAATTTGTTCTCAAACACTTGAAACTTTTTTTTAAATGAACAAAAACAACAGAATGCTGAAAGAAATGTCCTCAGCTGACTGAAAATCAAGTAAAAGGTCCAGAAGGAGTTGAAACTGGACCGAAGCGACTAAATGAGTTGAAACGCGTCAAACTGACTGCCAGACGCCCCCTGCTGGCCTCAGGGCTCCACGGCAGCCAATCAGCTGTTTGGAGCCTCAATTATTATTATTTTCTATTTTTCAGATTTAAACCCAAAGTGTTGCTTTGAGGCCGAATGTTGGACGAGAACAAACGTGATGTTTTTACTGGATGTCGTCTCCGATTCGACAAAAAATATAAAATAATAAAATCTACATATTTACACTTTTCAGTCCTTTAAAAAAAACAACAACAAATATCTGTAAAATAAATATTTTTTTCTGATTTAAATACAGTAAAATAATAATAATAATAACAATAAAGTGTAATTTTATGTTCAAACACTGTTAAAGAGCAATTGACTATTTTTATTTTCTTTCCCTGTTTTTTATGATATTTTGTCTGTAATTGACCAAAATCTCTCTGATTACAGTGAAACGGTGATTTTGACTGTTGTGTTATTTTTGTTCTGCTTCAGCGTGAGGTTCCTCTGATCCTTCTGTTTCCTGTTTTTCCTCATTCGCTGCCTTTCAGCGGCTTCACTCCGGTTTTATTTTCTTGCTGTCTGACTTTTTCTTTTACTACATCTGAGCCTTTCTCCAAACCGACTCCATCGGATCGAAACGAGGCTCTGACAGCTCGTCCAGCAGCTCAGAACCTCCCAGTTTGTTCTGATCGGATCCGGTAAAACTGCTTTTTGTGCTCACTGAGTGTTTTCTACATTCATTATTCAAACCTGTGTGTTTGTGCCGCTCACCTGAAAGCAGCTGCTCACGTTGTGCCAACAAAGCAGCTGCTGAGGCACAAACTAACTCCTTAATGGGTTTTCTGCTCCTGTGACCCCAACAGCCGCTGACAGATGCTGACAGATGTGGGTCAACCCGACGCTCTGGTTCTCTCTGGTCCTCAGAACCTTGATCCTGTTACGTGTTCTGTCCAACAAAGTCTCAAAGTGTACTGAAATCCCAACAGAAGAGGCCCAGAGCCCTGAATCAGCAGGTGCAGCGGCGCCTGGAGGAACCAGGTTCAGTTCCACAACAACCAGAACTTTCAGCGGTGCCTCACAGAACCATCAGCCAGAGTTCATTCATCACGGTGCTCCAGAGAGCTTCAGATGAAACCATTTTAAATCCAAAATGACTCACAATTAGTAAAAAAATGTCAATAAGGGTCCAGAATGAGTCGAAACAACAAGAACCCACAAAACTGAGCTGAGATGTGCAGAAAAAAGAAAAGAAATGACTCAAAATGTCCAAAATGATAAAAAAAAGGGTCCACAGAGTAACGCAACACGACAACAGAGACACAAAATGAACACAAAAAGACACAAAACACCACAAAATAGTGACAAAGCTAACACAAAGACACACAAAATGACCTGAAAAAGACTCAAAATGTCCACAAAGACACACAAA